GGAACAGATGGTAAAAGCTATCTTTTGGGCCATGATCTTGCAAAAAATGTATGTATCTATATTCCGCATAGAAAAATTTTGAAATTCATTTTTTTTTTACCAGTGCTATTGATTTGGTAGCATTTTAACCTGCTTGGCCCTTAGTTTACACCCATGTAAATTAAAGTGGTGAATCCATTCCAATTTTCTCCCTGATTGTTTCTCCCTTTAAGTTTGTTCACCTGCATTCCACCGATCACCTCCTACTGAGCCATTTGAGGATGCACAGTCCCTCTTAGGACATCATCTGATGGGGTGAGTCTCAGACGTAAGATTTTACATAGCAGCCTTTGAAGCACCCTTGTGCAATACGGAACATCCTGTATGGATGCAGAGCCACAGGGTATTTGAATTTCTTCTGTGGGCTGTGCAGCTCCACAAATTTCTTGGCTTCTCCCTGTCCAAAAGGTTGGATCTTCACTTTCTCTCTCCCCAAACTGCCCAGTTTTCCCCTGCCCTTTAGACATTCCCAATACTCTCCTTTCTGCAGCTCTCTTGTATTATCAGAGTTTCAGGAGACAGTGTACTGTCGGAATTATTTGGAATGGAATGAGTCCCCTGCATATTTTATGCTTACTAAATTAATCCTATTTAATGCACGCTGTCAGACAAAATCACCATTATTTGTTTACATAACTTGAGGGATTTATTTTGCATTAGTTTAACCTTGCAGAAAATGTGAAGTGTATTTGTGCCACTGCCCTTCGTTGCCTGGAATCAGATTTGCTCCAGTGTTCATCAGTTTGTGATTGATTCATCTTCTAGTGGCTAGTCTGAGGAGTGGATGCAAGACCTGTAACCAGCAATGACTAGGAGTTTAGAAGTGAAGTTTGGGAGGTTTTTTTCTGTTATTATACGAGAACAGTGACCAGGGTGTCTGTTACATATAATTAGGGACAGTATTTTTTCAGTTTGTTTGTTTTTTCTCCCAAATCAGATGAAATAAATAATACAAAAACAATTCTTTTTTTTAAATCTGAAAAATAAGCCTGTTTCTTTAAAAATAAGGTATAGTATTTGTACTGTGGTAGCACCTTGCGGTGTCAATGCTGGGATCCTCCATTTGAATGAATTGTAGTCCTAGGCATGCTCCATTTTTATTGTAAAAAATCAGAAGCAGTCATGTTCAACTGACACAACTGTAGTCAGTTGCCTATAGCTTCCTCACACACATCCATTTGGGCTGAGGCTGTGTGTGTAAAGCTTAATTTAGTTTTCACATTTTTAACAAAAACGATTCACTTGTATCCATTTCCCATAAGGTTAAATTGACCAGTAATTTCCTTTGTGTTGTTTTCTGAGATAAAATCTAAATCCTCCTGCTCTTCAGAACTCAAGCACCTGCATTTTGGGTGCTCAATTTAACATCCCACATGATATATATTTAAATGATTAATAAATTTATTTCTGACTTCGATAAAGGCGCACTCACAATTAAAGTGGAGCAGCTACCAAGCTTGGGCAGTTACTTTTAAGACCTCCTTCTCTTCCATCTAAGTGGCCCCACTTCTTGAATGCAGACCTTCACTGGGGACACTATCAAAGCCAGGTATATTGGAGACAAAGAGTAGAGCTTGACATCTTCCTGCAGAAGTTAGTAGAGTTGAGAGCTTCCTCAGGAGATCTACTGCCTGTTATCTCTTCCAGAGACCAGGAAGTAGAAACAAGGCAGAAACATGTTTCATTCATGGGAGAATTCTCAAATTTGGAGATAGGAAATAGGATTGCCTACACTGGGTCAGGCATACTGGTAGGAGGAGGGTTATAAATTGTATCAAGGAAGTTGAACATCCATGGGGGGAGAAGCCACTTAATTCAATACCTTTATATGATGGTTGGAGGTATAGGGTGACAGAGCTGCCAAACTGAAGGCTTCTTCTCATGCTGAAGGTAGGAGTACCTGATAACAGTGTGGAACTGCAGTTAGTGACCAAGGCTCTCCTTTTTTGGTGCTTCCATAGAATGAATGAGCCTCTAGGCCTGCAACCCCAAAAAGGGGTAAGTGGCCACTTTTCCGCTCAGCATCTCCCCTACCCACCTTCTCCTCTCTCCAGCCTAGATGCTTTGACAACATATTTCCACTAGTTTAGGGGCCCCCTGGCTACCAGATGTTAAGGGTGCAGCTAGGATATATAATTATATGGTAAGGAAGAATAACTTCCCTGAGATGTAAAGGGAAACAGTTTAGGAGCTTCTACAGGAATTGTTATCGCCTGTACAATAAGCACAATATCTGTGTGTCATCAGTGAAGTGACGTCAGTTGTCCTTTTCTGATCCCGAGACAAACACCAGGTCAGTTCCCAATTCTAGATCTCAAATAGGGAGCTGAGGCACACAGAGATTAAATAGCTTGTCCAAGGTCATACAAAGGAGATTGATGGCAAACCCAGGATTTGGGTCCAGATCCCCTGCAGCCTGAGCTGATGATTTAACCACACAGCCAGACTTCTTCCTTCAACATTTTGCAGCCAAGTTCCACTGCACACAGGGAGAGAGGAGAGACAGTGCTTATCTCCCTTGGTCTGTACTTTCAAGCCATCCACTTTTCCATCCTTCACCTGGTCCCTGCTTCCCCCCCTCGATAGGTTACAGATCCATGGAGGACATGTGGTGGGGTCCAGAAGCATTGGGGGGACATTACCACAGAAGCATTTGACACCCCAACTTTCTGTGCAGTTGTAGAAAGAGTCACACCCAGATTCTTCCTCATACATAGATCTCAGAGACATGATTTCTTCCCCTCCTCCTGTATTATGGTTATAGACATGTTTTCATAGAGCTACAGTAAATAAGGCTAAATTAATGCATAAAGAACTTCATTGCAGAACATAAGGAAATAGCATTCTTTTCACTGTAGGGAAAAAGATGCAAATCGGTGTTATGTTTTACATGGAAACAGCATGTGACTTTTAAAAGTTTGTAGAAAAACATATATACCAGGGCAGAGCCTCTGTCAGTATAAGTTGTCATAACTCTGTTGAAATCAATGGAGCCATGTCAGTTTACTCCAGCTGGGGCTCTGCCGCATCAAGCTTCATGATGTGAAAAAATAATTAGGAATGTTAGGTCTTTAAAAAAAAAGTATGACAGCAGGTTTTTTTAAAGCCATTTCAGTGCTTTCTTGGTAGGATTTACAACATTTGAAACTTGGGTTCCAACAATTTCTTTTTCTTAGAAATGGCCTTTGGTAGCAGAGATATTACAGGTTCTCAAGCTTAGCACAATTTCATTTCTCCCACTTGTCATAAAAGATTAATGAAGCTTCTGCTCATCAGTACAGCACTTAGGAGCTAGGTTACCATTGCTCTAATATCCAAAGGTGCATTGCACTGTGGTTTTGAATTTCCTTTTTATGTTTCATTTCCCTGCCTTTTCAATTTCACTTTCTAACTGTCTGAGTTAATTTTCATTACTTCCATTTGTCTCTTCTAGTTAAAATCTCAATTTTTATTGCTGTCTTCTACCCCAATCCACTGGAGCATTGTTTAACAACAAAGTGGGTAGCATGCTTGTGTTCATCCATCTGAATAGCAGACCAATGTAGAATGGGGTTGTTGCTCTTTTATAACCTAAACCATTAACTGGACACTTTCCTTTTTTCCCCCTTGTACCATTGCTTTTATATACTTTATTGGTTTTGCTGAGAGAGTTTGACTCTCTCCATGTTCATTTGAGTTTCCAGGCTTTTTTATTTCAGTCAAAATACATTAACTACATATAAAGATATCAGTATCTCTAACCATATACTAACACTACGTAATACCTGGGGACCAGTAATCTGAGATTCTGAGCATCCTCTAACTACGATGTCTTTAATGGAAGTTGAAGACATTTATTTCCTCACAGGATCAGTCTGTTGCTTGCAGCAGAATGTAGGTATAGAAATATTAAAATATATGTTCATTATACTATATATAACTATATCAAATACTAATATATATAGTTCATTATCACCTTGATTCAGCAAATAAGCACAAGAGAAGTCATGCGGATTCCAGTGGGACTTCTCACATGCTTAAAATTAGGCACTTGCTTAAGTACTTAGCTGAATCGGGGCTTAAGATAAGTGCATAATTCTACTCTGATTACTCCTGTCTAAATCCAGTCACTCTATTTGGTCCCAAATAAACAATTTCATCTACTTCCTTGTTCAGTCACACAGCTCCAAGAAATAGAACTCTTATTTCCAGCAACTTCTTAGAGCCATCCTAAATTTAATGTATCAAGTAACTCCAACATATATATTGTACCATTCTGCTGTTTTATGCTGGGAGTGCTTCAAGCACTCTAGCTTCCAAAATAATGGCAACAAGGGGAAGGAAATTCAGACACAAGCATTTAAAAAAATCTGTTGATTTGGGTCAATCACTGGCCAAATAGTTATCATCAGTGGGTGGGCAGTGCTTTGGTGATTGGTTGGTAATACATATTGTTGGGAAGGGGGTTGTTTTATAAACATGCTCAATTATGTTTCGATGGTTATTATAGAAATTATTGCATACTTTTAAAAATATTAAGTAACTGAGGTTGAGGAAAATTTAAAAGATGTATGAAAATATATGGCTTGATTAAATCATGTCTAATGGATATTTAAAATAAACGGAGTAGGATATATTTGCACAAATATTTAGTATGCATAATCAAAGCAAGGAGAGAATTTGTTTTAATTTATATAAGGGAGGATAACTGGGGATGAAATAAAGTAAAAGGAAAATTTATGGTGGCATTAGGATAAATTTCCTAATAGTGAGATCTAGCAAACGAGGATGATCAGCGAAGGGAAGTGAATGGAACTCCTGTTGATTGAAATATTTAAAAGATGACTAAGAAAATGTATATATCAAGAGCGAACAGCCCTGCACTGGCAGGCAGATGGACTGATAAGGCCTTTTCAGTTGTAACACCTTTGGTTTGGCTTGACATTTTTCTGACTTTATTTTTTCTGATTTGTGTTTTCCAGGCAGTACAACTCTTCAGGAAGTGCATTCGTAATACACAATAATGATGGAGGCGAGCAAAAGTTTGGAATCCTATTCTTCTGTGTAGTAAGTAAACATAGAGATAGTACTTAGTTCAGTTCTGTTATAATACACAGTTATTCTCTGTGTATATATAAAGTCTGCTGCAGTTTCCACGGTATGCATCTGATGAAGTGAGCTGTAGCTCACGAAAGCTCATGCTCAAATAAATTGGTTAGTCTCTAAGGTGCCACAAGTACTCCTTTTCTTTTTGCGAATACAGACTAACATGGCTGTTCCTCTGAAATAGTTCAGTTAAATGTTTATAGATATGGTTATAGCTGATACAGTATCTGTCTGATTCCTGCCACTTCTTGACCATCTACTTGTCTCTTTCTGATATGATCACCAAAAGAATCTGAAATCCTGCTTTTAAAGGAACATCTCTTGTTGATGTTGTGAAGATGGGGGAGTTGTGTGTATGAGGAGGAAAACAAGATCAGGCACAGGAGATGGAGCTGTTAGCATTTGATGATAGTATATGGCACCAGGGGTAAAGGGAAGCTTTTCAAGGAATGATGTTACAAATAAGCAACCCATAAACTGATCATCACAAACTTTGATACAGAGTTTCCGGGGCGTCGGGGGGTCCTTTTTTATAGTTTGAAGGACCTATCCCCACATAGCTTCATTATAGGGGAGACTTTTTAGGGGAGTTTTCCACACGAATAGGGGTATAGGTCATCTCCCTTCATCACCCTTAGTGGTAAATCTAATATTTAAAAAAAACCCAAAACCTGATATTGTTTTCAATTCCTAGCTTTGTCACATCATGGCCATGTGACTGGTCACTCCAACATTGGCACATAAGCAGTAAAAGATGGGTTTACTATGTGTCCTTGGAAACTATGGGTTTCATCACAAGCCTAGAAAATTGATTAGAAGAAAATGAAGGAAACATTCAATGCTATACCTTGGTTGTGATTGTCAAACTCTGTGGGAATCTGCTCAACCACTGGATTTATTACTATGAAGCCTGAAGTAAATGGTCAGCAGATAATGGCCAAGTGGCTGCCTGGCAGGCTCTTCTGATATGCATTTCCTTTATGTTCTATTTATATCTTATAATTAAAAAATAAGCAACTCAGAGCCATCTAGATATCCCCAGAGCTGGCCAGTGTCATCACATGCTTTTACTGCTGTTTCCTCCACACCCACTGCCCAACCTTTCATATTGTGGGTTACAACCATTGTTGCATTTGTCTTAATTTAGGCCTCCCACTCACACTAGCTCACCGTACGGAGCTCGGTGCAGAATGGGGCCTTAGGTTTTAAGCTTTTTGAGGCAAAAACTGTCTTCTTACTCTGTGTACAGCATCCAACACAATAGTCCCTGGTCCCAATAGACCCCCCAAGCATCATTGTAATACTGATGTTAATAATTAAATAAGGATAAGGTCAATGCCTCTTTCAAGACATTCATTTTTACACCCTGTAGTAGCTTTCCCTATATTTCTTATCTTCCTGCACAAGAAACATTCTATCCTGATTTTTTTATCTGATTTTCTATAATGTTTTTTAAGGTCAACTGCATCTAAAAATACTTCTAAAAAATGTTACTGTGAGCTTTGGGATGTTGAGAACACATTTCTCTGCTCAGTTTTTTAACAAGGAATAAGAAACAGAGCATATTCCATTTCCAAGCTAAAAGGAGTAAGTGGTTATATTTAGTTTAACTAGTTAAAAAGTTCATGGTTTATTTTCTGGTGTCTGGAGCCGGCATTTGGAAACTTCAGTTGAACGGAATTAAAATGGCACATTAAACAACTGACAAAAAAGCTAGGAATCTCCTGTTTTCATTCACTTCTCTTTGCTTTCTTAGAGCACTGTTCAGTTTCATTAGGTAGGTGTTTTCTGTCTTGATCTGTTTGGCCACAAGAGCATGTAGAGTTCTGGAGAATGACCTGTCTCATACCATAACAAGCTTGATCCTGTTACCTTTTCTCAGTTTGTCAATGGGAGTTTTGCCTGAGTGAGAACAACAATATCTGTCCTAGACTGGGTAATTATTTACACCATAACCTTGACTCTACAGCGGAGTTTCCTTCCACAATTCCAGGTTTTTTCTTGAAATATTTTCTTTGTACAAATTGAGTGGTTTTAAATCACCACATTGTTCTTCAACATTAATATTTTTCAAGCGATTTTTCAGCCCTCTGCAAATGGAATTTAGCCTCACTCAACTTCCAAATGTGCTAGGGCTAGAAGAAAGGCTTTTCAAAAGAGAATATACTGTACTTAGTGAGACAAGTTAAAATTTCACATTGGACTGTTTGCATGGCAGCAGGAGAACCATTTAAAGTGCTTTTGATACTTCATTTCCTTATTATGCTTCATTTGATGCCAGTTTGTGTTTGCTTCATCTCTAGGATTATTTTAAATTCCTCTTCTCTCTCCCCTTTTTTGTTTCATTCTGTTTACCAGCTGAACGTGTTTCATTGTAAATAGTACATTCTTGCACTCATGTCAATGACTCTTGAATTTTCAAAGTGCCTATTAGAAGTTGCTTTCAGCTGAAGAGGTCACAACAATATCACAGATGCACAGATTGCTACCCGATTAATACAATTATCAACTCTCAGAAATTATAAGCTGAGTGTTTGCATTTGAATACAGCTTTTATTTTAATGCTCAAAAGCATATTTTAAGGAAGCAAGTTTGAATAGAAAATGTTCCCAAGAAATGAGTTATATCTTTTGTGCAGATCAAAGCAGCAAAAAACATTTAACAATTTGTCTGTCTTTAATGAAATCTAATGGCTTTTTTGTGTTTCTCTAAACATAATAACTTTACACAAGTCTATTATTTGTTCTTAATGCTGCAAACGCCAGTGTTATATTACTTAGTGTTCTTAAGACTCTTAAAACAAAGATTTTGTTTATGCTACATACACAAACAATTATGTTTGACAATTTGGACGTAAACTTGAATTGCCAGCCTTTTCAGCATTCTCACCAATAAAAACATTAAGCATGTCTATTAAAAATGTTTCTTCCATAATTTGTTTTTCACTAGTTTCTGGCTCTGCCACAAAAGCATGCTGTCTCTCTTTGCAGCTCATTTTCTGCAGACTGTTTAGCTCTGTGCTTTTTTTAAAAAAACATGTTCTGATTAGTTTGTCCCGTAAACTGACCCTATAAAACCAAACCAAACCAGAACTTCCTTTCTGAGATCAATGAGAGAAATAGAGTTGGCCTGGAACTGGAGCTCTGTACAAGAGGGCTAATGACATAGTGTTCTACAGGGCACAATGGGCCATGTCTAAAACTAATTTGAAGTCAGTGCTGTTGGATCTGGACCCTCATGTTTGAAAAGGCCTAGCTGACTCAAAAATGCCCCCGACCGCATCTCAGAAGCAGTGATGGGGATTTTATCAGACTGACAGAGAGTTAGCTAACTAGTCCCTGGTGAGGCCCAAGGGAGAGGGCTTATGCTCTCTGGTGCCTTTCCCTTCCTCATGCCTCAGAGTGCACATAAGAGTGTGCTTTAAGGAAGGGGAATGGCTTTTCTACCTCCTTTTGGCAAGCTGCAGGTGGTTGGGGGTGCTGATTGGCTCTCACATACCCTCCTCCTCTGTTTAAAACTGTTGTGTGTCAGGAAACCATCTTGACTATTGTAGGGTGACCAGGTGTCCAGTTTTCGACTGGAACACCTGGTCAAAAAGGGATCCTGGTGGCTCCGGTCAGCACCACAGACTGGGCCATTGACTGTCCGGTTGGCGGCCCCGCGCAGCAGGGCTGGCAGGCTCCCTGCTAGCCTCCGCGTCATGTGGCTACCGGGAAACAGCTGGCATGTCCCCGCTCTGGCTCCTAACCATAGGGGCAGGCAGGGGGCTCTGCACGCTGCCCCTACATCAGGCACCGCCCCCACAGCTCCCATTGGCTGGGAATTGCTTGAGGTAAGCGCCACCTGCACCCCTGACCCCCCAGCCCGATCCCCTCCTGCCCTCTGAACCCCTCAATCCCAGCCCAGAGCACCCTCCTACACCCCAAACCCCTCACCCCCAGTCCCATCCCAGAGTCTGCACTCCCAGCCAGAGCCCTCACCCCCCCCACCCCAATCCCCTGCCCCAGCCCAGAGCCCCCTCCCACACCCTGAACCCCTAATTTCTGGCCCCACCCCAGAACCCACACCCCCAGCCCAAAGACCATACCTCCTCCCACACCCCAAGCCCCTGCCTTAGCCCAGAGTCCCCCCATACTCTGAACCACTCGGCTCCACCCCCGGGCCAAGAGCCCCCTCCTGCACCTGAAACCCCTCATCCCTGGTTCCAGCCGGATCCCTCACCCACTCTCATATCCCAACCCCCTGCCTCAGCCTGAAGCCCCCTCCTGCACCCTGAACTCCTCATTTCTAGCCCCACCCTGGAGCCCGCACCCTGAGCTGGAGCACTCACCCCTTCCCACACACCTCAACCCTCCCGAGTCAGCCTGGTGAAAATGAATGAGTGAGTGAGGATGGGGAGAGTGAGCAACTGCGGGGTGGGGGGGGAATGAAGTGAGCGGGGGTGGGGCCTCAGAGAAGGGGTGGGGCATGGGCGGGGCCTCAGTGGAGGGGCAGGGCAAGATTATTCCGTTTTGTGTGAGTAGACAGTTGGCAACCCTACTCTACTGCTGCCCTGCCCTGCCTTCCCTCTATGTGTTTGGAGTATTGCCAATCTGTGTTTCCAGGATGCTGCTGCTCTGACCAGATCCCCTGTTCTGGGATCAGGAAGGATTTTTTTCTTCTCTGGGCCAAACTGGCAAGCTGTTCAGGAGATTTTTGCCTTCCTGGAGGTTCAACTGAATGTCAAACAGAGTCAGAATAAGAATTTTGAATGTTAGGAATAGGCAATGTTAATGGCAACTTGTAGCCAACATCCAAAAAGACTGAAAGGGCCTGCTCCCAGATGCAAATGCAAATAAGAGACCCAGGATATTGCTGGTGGATCTTTTAGCCTGTAGGGAGCAGTGGAGACCCTAAGTCTTCAGAGACTGAGATGCTCCTTTTGATACCCTCATTCCACTTTGCAGAGGGAAGGGTGAGAG